AATGTAGAACTCCAAGAAAAATGTAAATAAAAATATATATATAAATAAGTATTAGGTAAAGCAAAACATAGTTTACTTAATAAATTATCCAAATTTGATTTATGAACTCACTTATATGCTATGTTACGTTATATAATTATCAAAATCTTTAATATATTTAAAGGGTTTAGCACTTAAAAATTCTCAGAACTACATCTACAGGGTATTCCCCACCTGCCAACAAGCGACAGCTTTTCCTGTTCGCTTTCAACCCGCACCCGTGACCCGTGACTCCTTCACCTCTGCTGCCATGGCTCGTGGATTTGAATAATTGTGCAGCAGCGTGTAACGGTACCAGGGAAAAGTTGCAGAGAGAGAGAGAGAGGGAGAGAGGTAGAGTGTGTGCGTTGCACTTTCCCCGCTCCCCCAATCCCATGCCATTGTTGTGCCGCGGAAAACGCTGCTCGCGTTGAATAACATCCTTTTTCTCACTTTGCAGCGCCCTCGAATGTATGCTACATTTTGTTATTGTTAAATATTTTGCCTGTTTTTGTTTGGCGGAATATAAAGCGCTTGCATTTAGTTGTTGTTCAAATTAAAAATGATTTAGATGCCGGCAAATTGAGTTCACTTCTGCGATACAAAGTTTTGTTTTCATTTTGCCTTTTGCTCTTTGCCGGCGTGTAATTTAATTGTTTGATATTTGCACAGAACTGGGGGAAATTGTATACATTTGTCTCCGTATCGTTGTGTTTCAATCAAGCCTTGCCATTGTTCAATGTCAGTGGAGAAAATGCCATTTTATTTCGACTGCAACTGGGGTTTCTGCGTAAATTGTTTGTCTTTTTTTTAGACATTCAAGCAATTTTACAGTAAGGGTAAAAAAATTTGAGAAAGGTTATTCAAAATGTATAAAAATATACAAAATGCACAAGAAACTTTTAAAAAATATATATTTCATATTTTTATCTCATTATGTAAAGCGATTTTAATATTAATAAAACCCCTCTTAAGTGTTAAAATGACGATCATATTCATGTATATTGCTGAAATTTGGAGACCTATTTATTCGACCCTTGCTGTTTGAAATATGTCCGTTTGAAAGCATTTCGTTATCTGGCTTTGTTTGCCTTTCAAATGCCAATTGTTGTTGGCATTGCAATTAAGCATCCGAAACATGAACAGCAGCCGACACTAGGCAACAAAATAGTTGAGGCAACACAAAAATAAATATTTGAAACATTTCTTAGCGAGGAGGTTGGAAAGCTGGCCTTAAAATCAGGCGAAAAAAAAGGAAATTTGCGGAATGTTTGCGTTGTATCCCCCACACAAAGAAATACACTTAAGCACCGGAAGTGACATTTCGGAATGCCACAAGAGCCAGGCAAAGAGAGTGGGGGAAATTTAAAGAAAAAAAAAGAAAATAAACAGGAAAAAGGGTCACTCAACAAAAGGGAAGAAAAAAAAAACAACACATATGCTTTCTTGAGTGCGCCCAAAATCACATTCGGTTCGCTTGCTTAGCAGGTAAAAAGGGTTCAAGCAAATAGAGAGGATTATATTTTCCCAAGAATCCAAAGAAATTGATTCGCTGAACAAATAAAATATATACCACGCTGGACACTTCACTGGACACTTTCCATTTTAAGCCAAGTTCGGGTCATAAAATGCTTTCTTTCGACCGCCGTCGCCCTTTTCCATTGTGATGCTGCTGCTCCCCCTTTTTTTATGATTTGTCTGTCCTGAAAGATTGCCAAGCAATTGAATCCATTGGCCACGAGCTTCTGTCCGCCGGTTTCATAATCAAATACATAACTTTATTTATGCCTCAGTCTCGTCCTATCCTTTCGCCTTTCGGCCACCAAAAAAGTTTCCACCAAATTTGCTTACATTGCCGAAACAATAAAATTCCATTGTCAGAAAGGGATGCCAGAGGACCTAGCCGGATGCTATTTTGTTAAGTGCGCGAATGTTGGCGCATAAATAAAAATATAATTGAGCTCCTGCTTGCTGCCCCCCGTTCCCGTTTCAGTTCTCGTTTTTGTTCTCCATCTGACCCTTATCTGGCAGAGATCACCATGCTGGCCACATGGCCTGAGGCCACTGCCCACTGATGATGAGAAATTCTTTGGCACTGAGCAAAAAGGTGTAGTTAAAAGTCTAAGAAAATTAAGCAGGGATTTTATTAATAATTTAGGAAAGCTTAAAAAACAGATTGCATGATGCTATATATATTTTTAGGATTTAAATTTGTCTCATAGTTCTTATATTTTTTCTAAATAGTATCCCATTTGTAAACCTTTTTTTAATGATTATTAATTTAATAAATCTCATCTATCAGTTCCTTTTTTAGGAATACTTAAACACCTTTTAAAACCAACTGTTTTATACTATTTTTTATTGTGACTTTTCTGTTTTATATATATTTTTTTCCTCAAGTGCACTTGCCTCTCCCAACCCGCTATATTGATTTTTGGCCCGTTCAAATAAATTAGCGACCATTAATTGGAATTGCGGATGGGGCGATTCACTCAAGCAATGCACAAATTGGACCTAGACTCGGCTTAATTGATTAGCTTCGGCTAAGAGTTTCCTTCGCCTTTGCCCCAGTTGTCATTGCATTTAATTGCATTGGCAAAAAGAGAGAGTTTCGGGGCGTCCAACAACAATTAAAATTGGCCATCGCACCTGGACGAACTTTTCTGCAGCCAGGCAATTGGAAGCCGAACACTTGTTGGTGGCTCTGCTGCTGATGCCTCGTTTTAATTGAATTAATTTAAAATTGCCTAGAAACATTTTACCTGCTGGGCTGGGCATTAATTTTGTAAAAGTTCAGCTCTCTGTTTGGCACTCATTTAAAATTTTAATTGCATTTATTACCAACTATTCAGCAGTTTGATTTCACGGCATTTGCAGATGATGCCATGCGCGGTATTTAGGTCATAATTGGGATAAACAGGATGATCCCATTAAAATATGTTTTGAAATTAAGTATGGATTTGAATTTTTAAATTGAAATTTAACAAAAATTGCATTAAAAAGCATTCAATTTAAAGTTTATCAAGGCTTTTAAGTAACCTTTTAGCTTAAAAGTTCTCAATTTTCTGAAGGTCTAATCAATGGATGTAGAGGTGGATTTTCCTCTTTCCTTTTTCCTGGCCAAAAAAACAAAGGTAACTAGCGCAAACACTACCCACGACATCAATCACTTGGCCACACACACAAAAATGCCATGGCACACAGATCGCAATTAATTTACCCAAGTCGGAATCAGCTTTCCGATTGCAGGAAGTCAGCCTGTGTGTGTTTGTCCTTCTCCTGTTGCAGCATCAGCTGCCAAGTGCAACTGAATCTGAATCTGAATCGGAAACTGCAGTTGCAACATCTCTGCCAGCAGATACTTTCCATTTCCACGCAGTCGAGCTTTCAGCTCCATCGGCAAGGCAAGCTGTCTCTGCCGTGTTTGCTTGCATGTCAAATTCTCATTTCATTGAAATCGGCAAATATTGACTAAGAACTTCGATGCAATCAACGCTGCCTGCTTGCTGACTGCTGCCTAGTGCCTGCTGCCGGTGACTGTGACAAATGGGCGTGGCATGTCGACATTCCAGAGCCAAATCGATGGAAGCTACATATTTGCCTGGTAATGAAAGTGAGACTGCGAGAGCTAACAGAAAGTGAAAGTAGCAATTAAGGTTTAAAGATATGTAAACCATATTTAAGAAATATTTTTAAACTTTAAATTGGGGTTAAAAACAGCTTAAATTTATCTCAATAAAGGGTTGGTTCTTAATTTATTTGTTTATTTATTTACAAACTATTTAGTTGAGTTGAATTATGGCGCATTTTTAAGAGCTTTTCCTTTTGAAATATATAGAGCAATGCTCACTTGAACTAGTTAATTTAGAAGCTGTCTTCAAAGCCATAATAAACTACCATTATAATTTATATACTTGAGGAAAAAGCAACCTAAAACCTACTTAAACTTACAACCAACAAGAAAAATGTAAGCTTATCTGCCAGGACAACGGAGACAGAGGTACTTAGTTATTAAAACATTGCCGCAAATTGCTACGCAACTTTTGCGTCAATAAACTAAACGGCCAAAAGCTACGGTCGACGGTCGACGACGGCCACTCAACCGAATCCTGGCTAAGGATAAGGATAATCAGCCCTGCTCAGACATCCTTTGAAGCAGCAGCCAGGTAGAGGCAACACCTGGGGAGCGAGTCAAAAAACAATTTTGCCTCATTATCATTTCAACATATTGTATGCCCAAGTGTTTCAAATTGTTCAAAGAGAGTAGGGAAACTGGAAACTGAGCGCTCAAAGCCCAATGGAGACAAGGGCAGAAGCAGAGGAGTTCTCCTCCTGATGAAGAAGTTTTCCCTTTACGTCCTTGCCGAGTTGGTTGTTGTTCCTGCAGCCACAGCTCAGCCCCAGCCCTCGCTTGGATGTCGGATGTTGCCGGATGAGGCTGGTGGCTGGTAGATGTAGGTGCTGCATGAAATCACTATGCTCATAAATGGGCCATGAATAAATTAACTCGCTGAAAAGCAGAAGCGAAAGCCAAAGCTAAACTAAAAGCCTCAGCAAAACAAAAAGACAAGCGACAAGGGCGGCGGCTCAGGGAACCCGGAGAGAGAGCCTTAGATTTCAAACGAATGATAATAATAATTGAGGCAGCGACCCAAGTACATTGGTTAGATAATAACACCGTACACATGTACATGCAAATGGGCTCTGCGTATGGGTAGGCACTGTGAGAAAATGGCTATGCCATTTGATGTTTAAATGTTAGTTAAGGGGAATATCTTTGAATAATTTAAATACAACTATAAATAGTAGTAGGATGAGTAGTAAGCCTAAGGCAGACCTGTTGTTACGAAGGAAGTAAGTGTCTTGAATCGGGTTAAAATAAAACAATATAAAAGTAAAAAATATCATCTATACTTTCAAATCTCCCCTGTTCCAGGTTACAAAGAATCCAGTCATTGATTTCTCCCGCATAGATTTATTACGAGGCCAAGCAACCGCTGTGTTGCTAGACAACAATCGAAATTCCCCGAAACAAACGGGGCTCGCCTTAGCTTTATCAATACTTTGCCTCGACCTCGGCAGAGCAGTCTGACCCCCAGGAGCAACCATGTCTGGGTACCGGAATCCCTCCATTACCGCCCGGCAGCGGCAGTCGCGATGCGCTCGGATGACCCGGCACTCGATTTTCACCATGAAGCGACCCATAGCCTTCCAGGTGCGCAAGTCCCTGGTGGAGTATGTGGACATGGAGCTGGCAGAGATGGACACATCGGTGTTCTACCAGCGCATCTTCATCCTGGCTAAGAACGCCCATTTGACGCCCGAGGAAACCGAGCCAGAGTCGGAACCGGAACCAGCTCAGGTTGACCAGTCGGAGGCAGTTCCACTAACTCAACCAACGCTCGAGTTCAAGGAGGATATGATCATACCCATGGACGATGTTTCGCTCAGCACGGAGGAGGCAGAGGAGGAGGCAAGTCTGGAACTTCCGTCGGAGGTGAATAGAACCTCTGGCGACCAGGATCACGAGGTGCTTACCCACACGTTTCGCTTCAGCGGTCAAGAAACTGCCGAGGAGGAGTTCGTAAGCGAGGAGGAGCAACAGTCGACCCGTGTAACGGGAACCGGCAAGCCCAAGGATTTCTGTGACATCTTTATTGAGGTTTTGGAGCAGCTGCATAAGCAGTGCAAGGAGGTGGCCATCACCCCGGATCCCATTTGTGGCCTGTACCTGTACATGGGCGAGTACAGTCTTCTGATGCTGGAGGGCTCGGAGGACATGGTGGGTTGTTTCACCCAGGCCTTGGCCAAGTGCTGCAACACCTACTGGCAGACGAACCGTGTCTTCCAGATCGAGGATCACATCACGGAACTGTACACCAAGGAGTTGATCTTTCGCCGCTTGCCGGCCGTCTATCTTAACGAGAAGTTCCCCACCTCGACGCCCACAGACGAGTACCTGATGGGCAAGCAGCATCTGATCATCAAGGACAAGCTTCACACGATTTGCCGGATGATATGGGAGGGGGAACAGCGGGAGACTCTGGAGACGCGCGGGGGTTCTGTCTACGACAGTTTGGAAGACGAGGAGGATCAGACCTTGGCGAAATCAAAGTCACATTTGTTGTCAATCGACCAGATGCCGATGGATATATACCGTAAGCATCTACCAGAGATCCAGCGCATCGATCTTGTGCTGGCTTCGACGAGATTCTACTATGAGCTGGATGGCTTTTCCAAGCTCTTTGGTCAGGTACCCTTTGCCCGGGATGAGGAGGGGCACTTCTGGCCCATTCCCAACAACTATACACCGCCGAATATCTTCCGTCGCACGCCGTACGACATCAATCTCACCTTCGCGGACTATGCGTTGGCTGCCAGCAAGAAAAGGTCAATGAGCTTGGGTTCGGAAAATTCTGGAGGTGAAGAAGCCGCCGAGGAGGGAGCGGCCAAGGAGGAGGGAGCTGATAAGGAGGAGGAAGCAGCCAAGGAGGAGACGCCTCCAAAAGCCGAATGAGTTTGTATCTTTATTTGGTTTATAAAGTATGACTTGAAAGCATAGAGCCTTTATCTTTTCGGTGGAGAGATTTTTGAAACTATTTACAGATTTCCTTTTTTTGAGTGTCGCGCCTAACCATCGCCAGCTCAAGCGGAGGCAGTTGACGCTGTTATCTGTGAAACTCGCGCGCTCGGTTACAATGTTTTCGGCTTTGTGCACATGACTGCATCTCATCTCATCCGGGGGCAGGTGGTTATGACTGTACACGGTGCAGGGGGGGAGGGAAGGTAGGTGGGGCTTATTCGAGGGTTGTCTTGTTTTGGCTTGCCACTTGAATGGCTCGACTCTGTTAACATAAACATAAATTCGCGTGTGTGAGTGCGCACATGTGTGGGCTGCCTCAATGGTTTGCCTTTTAACATAAACCGCATCAGACGCCAGCTGTCAGTTGTAATACTTGGAGAGCTCGGTGCTGGTTAGCTGGTTGGAGAGCTCTGTGCTTTTGAGCTCCGAGTCCTGAGCTCCGAGCTTGCAGCTGTCAAAAGCCGCGCTGCCATTTAAAGTCACTTGACAGTGGGCCAAAAGAAATACACAACACAGCTTAGTGGGGGTGAGGCCAAGCATGATGGGGTTAAGCAGAGGTTTGCTCGATAAATTTGCCCAACAAACTTGACTCTGGTTGGTTATAAATCATGCTTTCAATGGCCGAGGAAAAGTGTTTAATTGAGCAGAGTGCTTTTACAAATCGCATACATGTAAATGTTAGGTAAATAATAAATTAAATTTTGAAATACCCTCGATTCGTTTTTTAATTCAAATAAAACCCTTGCAGCTGCCCTCGCCTAAGCCTTTGCTATTAAATTAAATAACCCCTTTTGGCTTAAAAAAAAGCAACGTAAGCCGAGAACATGTTTAGAAATTGAGCTGAAAAAGTTAATTAAACTTTGGGCTAGGAGGCTGCGAGCCAGAAGCTAATCCACTTTTTTGCGGCAGAGCAGACGGACGGATGGCTGACGACATGCAATGACAAGGACACAATTCAATCAAGAGCCGCAGGAGCTGCAGAGTGTCGGCGCATAAACAAGGACATTGCCCTCCTGGGTGCCTACTGCTGCTGCGGTAGGTCGCCATTCGCCCCGCTTTCCAAGCTGCCCGGAAAAAGCCAAACATTTGCCGCTGCAGTTTTCATAAACTGCCAGACAACAGCAGTAGCAGCAGCAGCAGCTGGAAAAAGAGAAAACAACCGCACCAAGGTTGGACGAGACAATGGCGATAAGCCGTCGCTGCAGTGGCTCCTGCTCCTGCTGCCGTTCTCCATGATGTTCTAAAACCCGGTTACGTGTGGCCCACAACTTGAGGCGCAAACTCATAAATTACACAGCCGAGAGAGAGGGCAACGAAAAAAAAAGTAGGAGGCCAAAATGACTTTTGGCTGCTGTTGCTGCTTTTGGCCATCAAAAGTGAAACTGTTTGCTGCAGTCGCTTAAGGGGCGTTTGGGCGTGGCCTTAGCCTCCGGATTGCTCTCTGGTCTGGTCTGGTAGGGTCTGTTGTGTTCTGTTCTGGTCTGGTCCAGGGCGCCAAAGACCAGGCATAATTTAAGGCAAACTCAATTTGGCCATACCCTTGCCAAGGATGCTATAAAAGCCAAAGCATTCTGAAACTTCAAGGCACATGACGTGCAGATTGGAATCATTAAGGAAAGGAGTTTCAACAATTTCTTTAAACCCAGGAGTTTATTGAGAAATTTAATTCAAGTCCTGACTTCTTTAACGCAATGGTATAAAGATTAATGGTATTGACTAAGCCCACATCCAAACAAGAGTCAATTATGCCCGGAAATTGTATTTCATTATGGATATTATAGGCTATGTTTACAAGTTAAACTTGTACAGTTCAAATCTCTTACAAGACAAACTACATTTATGGGCCATAAAGGCAGAGAAATATAAGGAGAAACAAAACCAATTACTTAAAGTTTTCCTTGTTTTCCAGCAAATATTAATTCAATCTATAGAAGGCCATTGGAATGTAATTGCTTTGATATCTATCGATATTTGCAATGTCTTGTACATCAATTTAAATGTAAAGTAGACAAAGGATAATGCCATTTCCTTTTATACTAATATAACTTTTCAAGACTTTGATGCCCTTGAATATTTTACCTTTTTTAAATACAAACCCAATCCTAGTTTAAAACTCAATTAAAGAGCATCAAGAGTTTCGGTTCAGTAAACTCAAGTTCGAGTTTCTCGTTTCCCCTTAATATTTTTAAAGCAGACAATAGAGGCTGGGAAAATAGAGAGTGCAAACTAACTAAAATATATATTATGTGCTTTGTATATATACAAAAACGAAAACAATTTTGCGGCGCGATAAACGAATTTTCCTCTCGACTTTTGTTTTTTCTTGGTCCTACAGCTCCGTGCTGCTCTTTTTCCGAAAGGATTTTTGGCAGCAAAAGGCAAGACACAAGGATAACATGGCAACATTTCGCAGATTTCGCAGGCAACAGCAGAGGGGCTGGCCTAAAGCGCGGAGGGAGTGGCTCTGACAGGAGTCCAGATTGCATTTTCCCGGACACGATTGCCAACTAACTGCCAGGGAAAAGAACGTTTCAAAGGCTCCAGCAAAGGGAAAGGATAAGATCTGATCTGGGGGAAAACTGCAATTAGTCAAATGAGCAGGACGTGAACCATATTTCATCCAGGATAAGACAACTTTTGACTTATAACGCCCAAAGAGTCAACAAAAGTATTGGTTGGGGTCGGAACATACATACTTCTCCCTTGAGGGAAAAGAGAGACAAACCTAAAACTTTTCCAGAATTTATGCTAACCGAAAACTTATTGACTGGCCTAGGAAACTGCGTGGGCTTGGCTGCTCGATTCCACATTCATCATACGCCTAGTTGTGCGCGCTTTAAATCAAATTAAATGCCTAGAGTTTAATTCCCAAAACAATCAGAAACTTTGGCCATAAAAAGGTCCCGCATGTCCCCAGTAAACCGCATTAAAAAAAACGACGACAGCGGGAAATATGAAAGAAATTAAAAATAATAGCGCACATAAAACCACAAGCTGCGCCTGCCCAGGGGAGGGCGGGAAATTAAGCGTGAAAAAATCAGTGAAAATGCCTGGAAAATAGAGCGAAGCTGGTTCATGCGAAGACTGGATGACAGCTTCGTCTGGCCTTGATGGTTTCCCGGTTTTAGGAAATCCAATCATTTCCCTTGCCATTCAGGCGCGTTTAATTTCGGCCATTAAGGATATCTCCTTCTTGGCTTGTTTACATGCGCCACCAAGTGGTGTGAGTGTGTGTGGAGTATGTGTTTGCCTAATAAACACACATACATGTATGCATGTGTGTGTGTGCCTGTTCGCGCTTTTGTTTATCTTGAATTTGTCTGTCGCCATTTTATTTTTTACACTTTTTCCCGCACATATTTATTATCATGTCGGTTTCGGTTTGCGTTTGCGTTTCCATTTCCGTTTCCGTTTCCCCTTCCACTGTCGCCGCCGCTGCTCCTCTTCTGTTCTCGCGCCCTAATGAAAACCTCCAACTGTCCCTTTTGTCGGGTTTTTCGGCATGGCATGGAAAATGTTTATTATGTGATTATGCCCGACTTTAGCGCCCGTAGCTGCTGGGAAAGGTCTATCCCAGGAATTCCTGGTCTGCCCTGTCCTGTTCTGTCTCGTCCTTTTTTTTTCCATTTTCCGCCTTCTTCCAGCAGCTGCCTTTTCCTGGTTTTCCCTACTGCTGACTGTTGACCGGCGGCAGGATTTGGCCTTTTGCCTGAAATTTGTTTGTTGTTTTTGTTACGGCTTCCATTTGTCGGAGCTCCAGTCTTTGTTGTTGCTGTTGTTGCTTTTCATTCGGTTTAAAGCTTTGTCCTCCCTTATGGCACTGGATGTCTTTGACTCAGGATCCTGCGTGGGTGATTGTTGCCGTTGTCGTTTTAAATTACATTGTTACAAGTGTTCCGTCGTCCTCTGTCATATATTTTTTTGAGGTACTCAAAACAAAACATTTGCTTAGGTATTATTTAAAATAATATTGGTTTAAAAATTAATGTATTTTAATAAAAATATCTTAAAAACCAATTAAATAAAATTATAAATAGTTCGTTGAATAAGTTTAATACTTTCCAAATAAGCGAGATTTTATTTTTAAATAGCTCTATATATTTTATGATCTTAAGATACTTAAAATTAAATTTTTAAAATATTTATAGACCACAAAAAATTATATCTAGTTATAATTATTACTCTATATCTTTATATACATATTTTTCCATTAATCCCTAAAAAATTCTTACAAAGTGCTTCCGATTTTTCCCTGTGCATTGTCTTTTCCCTAAGACACAACTGCAGCTAAAACGATGATTTATAGAAGGCTGAGGAAAAAAAGCACCAGCTTAAGCCAGCTCGTAAGGTTAAAGTTCAGGCAGTAGATCAGGTTTTGGGGCCATTATAATTGGAAGGACCTTCAAAATGGCCAACAAATTCATTATACCACCCCGGGGCCACTCATTAAGCTAGAGTTCTCAAGAGTTCCCAGAAAAAAGAAAGGAGGTCCGCCTTGAAATTCTTTAGCAAACAACAATCGGCAGGATAAATACTAGCGCGCTGTCACTTAAGTTAAGTAAAGTTCATCGCTTCTCGAGCATTCCATAAATATTGTTAGCTGGATTTAATTATAAACGGTCGGTGTGTACAAGAAGGGCTGGGCAAACACATCATAGTGGGAAACATTTTTGGCAATGTAAACACATCTAAGGAGGGGAGAATCATCATCATTGAAAAGCATTTCGCACAGCGGGTGCGGAAAATATGGGAAATGTAAGCGGAAAATCAAGGGGAAGCTGTGAAGCTGTGCGAACAGTTGTTTTTGGCCAAACTTGCTCACCAAACACACACGCAGTAATTAACTGGTCTGTCACATAAGTCGCATTAACACAATGTTATAAATGTTCCCGCAGCTGCTTCCCAAACACTCCTTGACGGAGTCCCCGTTTATCCCTTTTCCTCTCCTCTGTGTCCTAGTGCCAAACATTGCATGTCA